TACCTGCCATTGCTTTCTGTGACCTTGGGTAGTTACTACCTCTCTGATACTCAGTTTTCTCTTCTGTAAAGGATAACAATAATGGTCCTTGCCCTATCTACCAGAAAGGACTAAGACCAACCACTGAGACTAGTTAGCCTATGTGACAGTGCTTTGTAAACTGCAGAGCCAGGTGCAGATCAAAGGCCTGATTATGATGACCATTTCATCACTGGTTTTCAACCAGGCCACCATTGTTAAGGATGCAAAGTGTGTTGCTGCTTTCAAAGGTACTGGTTAGTTTGAGATCTTCTATAATGCCAGAACGGATAGTAAACACTCAGGAGAATTGTTCTCAAGAAGTCCACTCAAGTTTTTGCTAGTCTTTACTTAATACAAATAGCTATATATATTGGGAGAAAAATTATTTTTTCAAAGCTTATAGTTTACTCTTTTCTAGCTGCTGTTGGATTGTCTGATGGGGCCTCTCCCTGGGGTTGTGGAATGCTTCTCAATTTCAATAGTTGAATAAATATCCTTTTATTTTTAATTTTGATTTTTTAAAGCTACTTTGATATTTGGGCCAGATCCAAATATTATTATTTTTTATGGAATATACACCTCTGCTAAGGCAGTTTTCTATACATAAATTTGAGTAAATATCCCAAATATCCAAGTTGAAACACTATTTAAATTTGAATGATTTGAGTTTGCTAAACTTCTCTTTGGGCTGTACACAACTCTTTCTGCCAAGCTCTTTTCCACGTCGAGCCCTTTGCCCATGCTGATCCCTCTGCCTGGAGTGTGTTCCCCTGATTCTTTGCAAAGCTGACTCCTTTTCATCCTTTAGCTCATATGCTATCTTGTTAGACAGGTCTTCCCTGAGCACCTGTTTCAAGTCATCTCCCCAATCTGTTTCCTCATTTATTTCTTTCACAGCACTGATCACTATAAGCAATTTCCTTTTCATTTGTTTACTTTACTTTGTCTATGTCCCTTATTACTACTACTACTAATATATAATGTCAGCTCCTTGAGGGCAGGGGACCTTGCCCATTGATGCCATCATCTACCCCAGAGCATCCAGTACAGTGCCTGGCACACAATAGCTATCTGTTGAACAGATGAATTTATCTGACAAGATCTACACTAGTGTTGTAAGGCTGTGGCCATATACAGTTTTCTTGAAGTGAGAGTCTGCCCTAAAGACTATCCAGGACTTGGCCTGTGGTGCTTGTGGATGCACAGGTTTCTCTCGGGCCCCAGGAAGAGCCACGGTGGTAGCACAAGACTGCTGGCTCCCCTCTGCCCCACCCTAGTGGAGCTGCCCCAGTGATGTCACACAGGACAGAATTCTCTAATCCTTTTCATTCCGTAACTGTGCTCCACACAGCACAGTTTTTCATAACATGATCTGATGATGGGAGAGAGAGGAAGGACGACTCGGGTAGGGGGTACACCCCCTCCCTGAGTGAAATTAGTTCAGGGGCACTATTTGCTCACATGTTCTGCTGCGAGAGAATATGGGTAGAAGAATTTACAATTTGGACTAAGCTGATAAAAAGAGAAAAGAGAAGAATGGGGAAAGGAAAGGCAAAGAAGGCAAAAAGAGAAGAGGAGAAAAGGAAAAGAGAGACAAGGAGAAGTACAAGAAGAGAAAGCCAAAGGAAGAGGACAAGTTTGAGAAAAAACCATGAAACAGGTAGTGAAGGAGGAGGAGGAAGAAGGAAGAGTTGAACCTGTGTTCTTGGTTTTGTAACTCTTGGGTAGTGACTGGCTTCAGGCTTGAGTGGGAGGGATTTTCACCCTATCCCCCTGAGGAGTCACTTAAATTGCTGAGATATATTTTGAGAGGCCCAAGCAAGGCTGTCTCAAGGGTGACTCCCCCGATGCATTCGCCACAGTAATTTGGGAATAGGAAATGTAAACCTTTTCTTTAAGTCATGATTGTGGTACAAATGGGCGGGGGTATTGATGACTATACTAAAGCTTTAGATTGGCCACTACTGCCCCTTCCTTACCCCACGCCTCTCAATTACTAGGCTATTAGCACACAGGAAGTTCAGGACTTTAAAGCCAATCTTTCAGACAATCTTCTTTCTCTTTGTTAATTGAAATACAAACAGATTTCCAAAGCAGAGTCAGATGGTTTTATAATATATCTGTAAAAATCACTAAAATCCAGTCATGGCAATATATTCCTGCTGTTTCACAAACTTACTATGAACATCCCAAATATATGTAGGAGGCCCAAGCAAAGCCCTGTAGTTCAATAGAAAAGAAAACTTTCAACTCTCTCTTTTTTTGAGACAGAGTATCGGTTTGTTGCCCAGGCTAGAGTGAGTGCCGTGGCATCAGCCTAGCTCACAGCAACCTCAAACTCCTGGGCTCAAGCAATCCTTCTGCTTAAGCCTCCTGAGTAGCTGGGACTACAGGCATGAGCCACCATGCCCGGCTAATTTTTTCTATATATGTTAGTTGTCCAATTAATTTCTTTCTATTTATAGTAGAGCGGGGGTCTCACTCTTGCTCAGGCTGGTTTCGAACTCCTGACCTCGAGCAATCCACCCGCCTCGGCCTCTAAGAGTGCTAGGATTACAGGCGCGAGCCACTGTGTCTGGCCTTAACTCTCTTTTTTTAATGTTCTTTCCCACCTTATAAATATTTAGTTCTCTTCCTCAGTATAAGGTTTAATAATACAGAAGAGGATATTCTTAATATAATATCAAGCATATTAAATCAGACAACATTAAGATATCTTCGTTCTAAATTTTTAAATGTCAACCTTATAACCCATGAGTTTCCTAGTTTACACCCAAAGCTGTATCCAGAAATAACAAATAGTAGGACGGTGCAGCTTTATTGGCAGTCTGTGGTACATGGTGCAGACTTCTTAAAAATCTTTTCATGTTCATATTTTCTATTTTATTACCTTTTCTGCTACAGTTAACCCAGATTCTGCTATAAGTGTAGAACAGAAAGAAGAAAGGTGTGGACACCTAAAGGAAAGAAGCAGAAAGATAGGCAAGACTCTCAAGTTTTCTATGGTCCACTAAAGCCATCAGTGACCCAGCTTCTGCCTTATGAATAAGAAACTTTTTAAGAGCACTCCAATATTACAGAATGTTAGTGAGTCCACCAGCATGTTAATCATGCTGTTACTTGTCTGAGGTATTAAGGATTCCAATAAGGCAGCGTTTCAAAGATCTTTGATCTAATTTTCCTTTTTTGGCAGGTGTGTGGAGAATTAGGAAATGTATCTTCAGATTATACTGGGACCAAATGCATAGTGAATTTTATCTTTACTTTGTATACCTGGAAATAATCTGTCTTCATCTTACTGTAAGAAATTCTAACCTCAAAGTTACCAAGTAGAGGGATTTTGGGGTGACTTGAGGATTTGGTCTACCAGTGACTGGTGATTATATTTGATCCTGTTGTTAGGTTCCAGGTCTAAAAGTGAAGGAAACAGAATCATCCCAAAGAAGTCATGTTGAAAAAATTGGAGATGGCTTTCACAATTTTAAAAGCAGCTGAATAATGTTTGCTGAATGTCAGAAAGAGGGAATAGGTTGCTTTTGATCTAAGAGTTGGGGCAATAAAGTGGTTTAAGAGATACAAAGTAGCAGGGTGCAAATTGCTACAGGAAGCTCCTGAGATAAAATGGAGAGGCCTCGTCAAAAATTTACCTTTTTGCTGGCCAGAACTCAATTTGGCCAGTAGAACCCGCCTTCCACAATGAAGTACTTGGTCTGTCTTTGTATATACCAGAACATCTTTTTAAAGTACAGATTTTTCTTTTAACTTCTGTTCTTGAGAACGTGGTGTAGGTCAAATCGGTGAACAGGTTAAGCCTCTGACGGGAGAGGGAAAGGCACTCCAGCCAATGGGAACCCGTGCTGGTGATGTACTGCTCCCCAGTTCTGATTCATTGGCTGCCTAAGGTCTGTCATTCTATCCCTGGCGTCTGCAAGCAGCGTGGGTCGGGTTTTCGGTAGTCTAGCTAGCTAAACTGGATTTTGGCTGCCTGCACGTGCAGTTTCCATTAACTTTAGCTCATCTCTAGCTCTTAACAGAAGCAGCTGTTACGTTTCTGATTCTCCTCCAGATTTTGAAAAATCCTCGGTTCCTTTAACTTCATCGGAGGTCGTTCGAGGTCCCCTGTGACAGAATCACGTGACTGTCTAACATGTGCAAATAAATACAATGTGGAATCCCCTGAGCTGCAGGGGGAAAACCTGCCAGAAACTCAGAGCATGTGCCCCGCGTGTGAATCAGTTGCACTCGAGTGTGGGTGGGTGGTGGCTAAGATGCGTGCATTTCTGACCCGAGGTGTGTGGCCCTGGCACCTGCGTGGGCCTCCTGGGGTCACTGGGGGAGGCAAGCCTCGGAGGCGTGGGGCCCTGGGGGAGGGAGTCTGGCGGCCGCCGGGGGACTGAGCGCGTGTTTGAAGGACAGTGGCCAGACAGTGACTGCACCCGGGAGAGGACGAAAGCTCCGGGTCAGTCCTCCGGGCTGCGAGAACACCCTCTTTGCAGGGAGTGGGGTGTGTGTTTGTTTGCTGGCAGACCGAGGAGCCAGGACCCGAGGCGCGGACGCCCTAGGGGGAAGCTTTCGAGTCCCAGGGTGGCCAACGGCCGGGCGTGGAGAGGCTCTCGATCCACTGGGCTCCGAACAGTCGCACACTCCGTCCAGCCCTCAGCACCCGGGCGTGAAAGCCCAGGTCCTGGCGCCAATCAGCGATCCGTACGCTCCCTTAGCCCTTCAGCCTCAGCCTGGGGCCCAGGCTGCAAGGCGGTGGCGGCTGGAGGCGCTGGGTAGGGCAGTGACGTCATATGCGGCCGCCCCTCCCCCGCCCGCCGGCTCTCGCCGCAGTTTCTGCCCAACGACATCCGGGTCTTTCCAGCTGCTCGGCCCCGCCGCAGCTGTAGCAGCGGCCGAGCCGGCGGGGCGGGGCGAGCGGAGGAGTGGGGGAGGGGCGGCGCCGTCGTGAGCGCGCCTGCGCGGGGCCGCGCTAGAGGCGGCGGCGGCGGCGCTAGGGACGGGAACGCGCTCAGGAGCTAGAGAGCAGTGATCTACGCGCCGGCCCGGCCCGCAGCTTTGGGTCCTTCGGCGGCTGCAGCACCGGAACGGGTGGTTGGGGAGGGGGGGTGGGGGGACGCCAGGCAGGTGGGACGCGAAAGCGATGAATCCTCGGCTCTTCCTCCTCCTCCTCTGGGACCCGCTCTCTGCCGGCCGCTCCAACGCCCGGATGATCTGAGCCGCGAGGGCGCCGAGAGCCGGGGGCCCGGACGCAGCCCGGCTCCTCCCCTCCTCCGCCCCGTCCCGGGCCTGACCTGGCCCGCCGCCGCCGCGGTGACCCCCTCCCCGCCCCCTCCCCGGTCGCCGCCACCGCCACCGCCGCCTCGGCCGACCAGGGACCTGTCCTCCCGCGGCTGCTCCGGGTAAGCGCGGCGCTCGGGCCGAGGGCGGGCGGCGCGGGCCTGCGCGGGGGCGGCGGCGGGCAGGCCTGGGGCCTGTAAACAAGCCGGGCGTTTGCCCGGGCGCTCCCGGGAGGAGACGCGACAACTCCACCCCCTGGCCGGCCTCCTCCCCTGAGCTGGGCTGCGAGGGGTTAACGCTCGGCGAGGGCGGTGGCGGGGCGGCGGGGGCGGGGTGTTTGTGGCGGCTACGCGGGGAGGGGGCGCGACCCTCCGGCCGTCCGCGGTCCGTGGCCGGGCGGGGTGTTTGTGGCGGCGACGTGAGCGAGGCCGCGGGGTGGCCTGGCCCGAGAGGGGCAGGCGGAACTTTTCCCGAGCGAGGAGGGGGCGTCGCGGCGCCCAGCGCCCCCACCCGCCCGGGCGCGCCGCCCCGGCTGTCCTGGACTCCAACCCCTGGGAGGGAGGCCGGCATAAAGAACGGGGGAGGCGGCTTCCTTCGAACCGGACTTAACCTCGAAAAACCAAATTCTAGGGAATTTGCTTCAGGTTTTACAGGGGGCAGGGCTGAGAGTGAGGCTCCTTCAGAACTCAAGTCAGTGAGTGATGCCTCTACATTCATTCATTATTAAGGCGTCGAACAAATCCATTGAAGTAAATTCCACTGATTTCTCATCCTTTTAACCGTGTAAATTGGGTAAAAGTTCTTGATGTTAGAGTCTGGTTGAGGTATGGTTCTGTTCTGCTTGTAGATTTTAAACAAACTTGGAACCTTTTCTAGAAAGACAGCTGGCCGTGGAGAGCCCCTTCTACCAACTGCAGTTTTAGATACGTTTTGAGAATTTCATCACCTGAGGTATTTTTCTTCTCTATTCTCAAGCAGCAGATGATACCTTCAGATCCACAAAGGTCATGGCTTCAGTTGTCCAAGCCAAGGAACCTATGTGCCACCCCCACCTCACCCCAAGTTTCTTGCTAATTGAAATAGTGAGCCAAATGGGTTTTAGGAAGTACTTGGAAGAATGTGGAAGATAGGGTATTATTTTTGTGGAATAAGTTATATCGACATTATTGAGAGAAATATGAACTTTAGAAAATTGTTTTAAAGAAAAAGGCATAATCTTTTCAAACTTACACATTGAGATTTTAAACACAACCACCTTTTAGATGTAGAGCACTCTGAAGAGTCAAAGGATTTATTTAACCAGTGTTCTGCTGAGCCATAGGGGTTCCAGAGCCCTAAGGAATCCATCAGTTCTTGGTCCCCAACTCCCTTTAACTGAAACACTTCACTTTTATACTTTTATGTTTTTACATATTGGGCCTTTTCAAAGATTATTTTTCTGTTACTGCTTATTTTACAAATAAGAAAAACTGAGACTATGGAGATAGTGACACCCCTCCAATTTTCTAATCTTAGATGTTACCTTTATTGACTTAATATTTTTTTTGTCAGTAAATAATTCAAAGCACAAAGTAACATTTCTTGCCTATGTTATAGTACTGTGCTTATGTGTAACTTACATGTATCTGATTTAACATTCGATTATGTAGGGATCATTACTTTTAACCTGGAGGTTTACACAATACCACATTATTGAAACTATAGTGAAGTGCACGTGGATGTTGCTTAAGACATTTTTATTTGATGTCATTAAACATTTTTATATCAATGAAGTATAATATGGGAATTCAGTGTATTAAGACTGATAACATGTGAAGTTAACTACCTTAATATATATCTGAGAAATAACAGTCATCAGATTGCTTTTTTACGTGGCTTATATCTTTTTGTATATTTTTTACATAGATTGTATCTTTTTATATTTTAAGATAAAGAGCTGAAGTATAACCTGTTGAAGGGAACACTGCAGTAGGAGACAAGAATTGTTTAGTCATGGCTGTGCTCCAAAATATCTGGGTCGGTGGATAAGTCCTTTAACCTTCTGAGTTTCAGTTTCCAAATCAGTAAAGCCAAATAGATAGGTTATATTATCATATGTACTGTCCAGTTCTTTTTTTATTACAAATACCTGATTTTTTTATTATAAATACCTGATTTGTGTGAGGCATTAGGTGTTTCAGCCTTCTAAAGCTAATTTTTCTGTCTGGGTTCTGTTTTATTTAAAAGAATTTTAAGTTGATGATTCTTTAGGATCTATTCTTGTAGGCTGCTTTTATTGATTTTTCTGTTGGGATTGGAAAGTCTATAGAAACTCTTGGGAGTGAGGAGGAGGGAGATTTCATGGGAGACAAAGGGTAGTTGAGATTATAGTTTGAACAGACACAGGACTCTTGGTAGTTGGGTGTGAAGAGCATTATAAGAACACATAAAGGTTTTTCTGTCACTTCAAGCTGGGCCTTAATTATCTTGTTGAACCTTTGTTTGAAACTTTGTTCCCTAATACCTCATTTGTTTTTGAAAGCAATCTATGGCAACATCACTTGTCACATGGTAAATATTGCTGAGTAGTTACTAAATACCTCAGTCTTTGAATTTGTTCAGATTACACCTAGACTGTTTAATATAATGGTTAATAGTGTGTATAGCTGATTCTGGTTTAACTATGTATGCTAATTTATTGTATAATTTTAAACCAAAGACTGACATGTCTACAGGGAGCTTGTTACCTCTGAAGTGCTCACTCATGAGCTGGGTATAAGTCTGCTTATGTAGAAATAACTAATTGTAAGGTAATATTTTGATGATCCCCTCAAATGATTAACTTTTGCCTGGGCACCTGATTCTGAGTTAGTATACTCTGGAATACTTTCCATCTTTGATCAAATCAGAAGGAGACAGCTATGTAATAAAATTGTCCCGGGCAGAGTTTTATAACAGTTAAGATGATAAAAAATGCATGATCCTGTGAAATATATGGACCTTGGAGTAGGGGAAAAGGTGTGAGGCAACTAGGTAAAAGTTGTGTCTTATTTCATGGGTGGTAATTTTACGTCACAATATGTCCTGTCTTCTATCTCAGATAAAAAAAAATTTGATTGCTTCGTTTATTATTTTGCTGTTAGCCAGCACATGGAAATTCTCTGATCTGGGATTATTAGCCATTCGTATATAAAAGAAGCTTTGGTTAACCTATATCGAAATCAAAAGGTTGATTTTCTCTGTTCTTTCTTCCTTCACTCTTTCTAATGTCTAATGTGCTCCATATTATACAAGTAACAATTTTATACTTCATTATGACTCTCTAGAATATATTTCTTAATGATTTTGACCTTTGTCCTTGTGATCTATTTAGTACAGTCCTAGATAATCTCTTTACCTAGCTTTTCTGTTGAGGCAGGTAGGAGGAACTAGCAGAAGAGGCGAGTTTCTTTGTACCTTTATCTAAAATGTAATACGCTTTAGAATTTTTTAAGAAACTGTAGGAAAGGTACTGGATATTGTTTAGTAATAAATTATACTCTGTTGATACTTTGTTAGTAATATTAAAGTTGTTTTAAGTGTTCTTTGAGTAAATGTGTGATAAAGAAGAGGGCTTAAATTTTTATAATTCTTAATATGTTTATTTGGAATCTATGGACCAATTTTATTTATTCATATTAAAATCTGGATTGAAAGTCATTAGTTTTTGTGACTGATATGATTTGAATTAAAATCCTATGAGACAACTACTCCTAGATACAGAAGAAAGTAAATAATGAAAGCCATATTTCATTGGGCATTTATTTGTATCAGGCTTTAATTTTTGCCCACAATCCTCTAAAATAGGCATCCTCAAACTACCGTGGGCCACATGCCGCCGGCCTAGGACATTTATCCGGCCAGCCAGATATTTTTGCCGCTGCTGCCTGTCCTGCTTAGCAGGCGACTCGTCCCAGGCCCACAGTGTGCACTCTCCAACAGTCTGAGGGACAGTGAACTGCCCCCCCCTGTTTAAAAAGTTTGAGGACCCCTGCTCTAAAATATATTGCATTGTCTCTATTTTACAAATAACGAAATATGAGCTCAGAGAACCTAAGTAACATGCCAGGATCAGGTCTGTAGGTATAAAAGTATTTTCAAAATATTCCCTAGTGAATTTTGCCCAGTTAGATGAACTTTCTTGTTTCTAGGAACCAAAATTTAAAAATTCTGAATGTTAACACTTCTAATTCATGGATTCCTGAAGTTAAAAAGAGTTCTTATAGGTTTATGTAGTTAAGTCTTCCAATGTAAGAATCCCCCTTCTAAAATATTGAGAAAAGATTTAAGAAATTAGATTAATTTTCTCATTTCCAAAGTTTCAGAAGTTAACAGAGTTAAACATTTTATGTCTTCAATTACCATTGCTTAGACTGAGGAATGGAATCTATGTTAATTCTCAAAGGGCTGATATCCTTAATGAAGGACCTAGGGAAATGTTTCTTAGTAGATATAATCAATAGAGTCTCACTGAAGGACCCAGAGGGGAGAAGGTGATATAACTAGGCCTTGAAAGTCAGAAGGGTCTGGGTTTGAGTCTCTACTCTCCTACTTCCTAGTGGAGTGTTACTCAGTAAGCTACTTGATTTCTCTAAACCTCATTTTTCTCTCTCTGTCAAATGGAAATACCTTTCTCTTAAGGTTGTCATGAAGATTCAATAAAAGAGCTATGTGAAGCACTTGACATATTTTCTGCCATGAAGACAGTGCCAAATAAATGGTAGCTGTTATTAATGAGTATATGAAATCTTAAGATACTTAGAGAAATAGAGACTTGCTGGGTATGAAAGGGTTGTCTTCGAGTATAGCTTTTGCAGTGAGTCTAAATGCCAAACTAGAAGAGATTGAGTAAAGAATTTATAAGAGGTTATAAAAGCTGCAGGTATATAGAACTTGCATATGAATAGACTAAAAGTTAAGAGGTAATGGAAGAAAGAGAAAGTTGAGTATGAGTAGATTTATTTGGCTGCATGAAGCTTGAAAGAAGTCATGGGTTTGGAGTTAATGATTAGGTAGGAGTAGATAGTTAAATTGCAGATAAAGAGTGACAGTAATATAGCAAAGGTGAATGGTTAGACGAGAATGATCAGTAAGGAGGGACTAG